AAATGCTAAATGGCACTGTTTGCTAACTAACAGCCTCATTTCCTTTTGAACAAAAAAGTTTATACTTTTTTTTTGCCCAGCTAACAAAAGGGTGTGGGTCATTTAATAAAAGCCATTAAACAAACATGTGGTGTTGACGTTAGCAGATGGACTGAACCATCAAAAAAAAAAATCACCCCATTTACAATGACTGCCACAAGATACGGCTGCAATGCAGAGCAAAGTCCGAGGCGGACAGATGCTTATGGCAGCAGAGAGGAAAAGAGGCAGAGAGACTAAAGGGGGAGCAGACAAGTAGAATGACTTATTTAGACGGGAAGTGGGCAGCGAGAAACATGAAATTAGCACAAATAGATTATCTGTCCACTACAGGCGGGTCTAACAGCAAGCCAAGCACTATGGTGGTGGGAGGGATGGGTCTGGGTCGGGGGGGGGGGGAGGGTAGGGAAAAAAAGCAGATTGACTTCTTGTTTGTTCCTCCCTTAGGGGAGAGCCGATGGAGTCATCACTCACCAAACTGCTGATCTGTGGTTGAAACAGCTGTATCCAAGCTACCGAACTACACTGCAATTAGAATGCACCAAATACCACGACACCCCCTTGCACCGTGGGACAGGCCGAGTGTCTGATCTCTTAGACGTCGTAGGTTATTGCAGGGAGGCCTCAGACAGGGATCTTCCCTTAATCACGCTGGTGAATATTATAGATCTATAAAAGCATGGACTGGATCCAAAATATATAAAAAGTAGAAACAGAAACGAGACTATTGATAATTCATCCTTGCTGGTGCTGGTGGAACAAGCTGCTTAGCACTTTGTGCTGTTATCTCAAATATAAGAAGGGAAGTTGACTGTCATACATGTCTACATACTGTAAACGTACACTTTTTTTTTTTTACAGATTTACAGATCGCATCAGTTTTTTTTTTCTACTATGGATGAACAACGGAATTTTTATTTTTTTTTGCAGCAAATGAAGTTTAGCAAAATTAACTATTTTCCAAGCTTATAATATAAAATATTAATTTCCTGTCTGCAGTTCTACAACTCTCCATTTTTTAGACCAAGCACAGGAACTTGCCCCCGAGGAACAGCGGCTACGATACGCATTTATCCAAAGACAGAGTCCTTCCATAAATTACAATTTAAAAAAAAAAAAAATCTAAAATCTGGTATTGGTACCATTCCTCAAATTCAAATATTCTGTGTATAAAGCTATACATGTGTGTTCTACAACAGGGGGTTCCCAATCCCCGGTACACGGAACGATACCGGTCCGTGGGAAATTTGGTACAAGGGCCACAGTGAAATATTTTTTTCATTTAAAGATAATTCATTAATTCTTAGCAAATGTCAAAATGTCTTAATTTTGAAAATGAAAGATCAATTATCAATTCAATGATGTGCAATACAAGCTGGTACTTGTATTGCCCTTGGTACAACAAAAGTTGGTATTCAAGACAAAAAAAAAAAAAAAAAAAATCTGTTACAACAGATAGAACAAATTCAAACTATATCCTTAGTCTGTCACGTATCGTGAAGCCCAGGTACTGCATGTTGCAACGTTGACCACTTATTATTTACATTGGAGTGAAGCAGTTCTTCCTAGAAGAGCAATATATAAAAAAAAAAACAAAAAAAAAAAAAAAATCTGTTACAACAGATAGAAAAAAATTCAAACTATATCCTTAGTCTGTCACGTATCGTGAAGCCCAGGTACTGCATGTTGCAACGTTGACCACTTATTATTTACATTGGAGTGAAGCAGTTCTTCCTAGAAGAGCAATATATAAAAAAAAAAACCTGTTTTGTTTGTTAAACACCCAGATATGTTTTCATAACTACAGTTAAACACCAGAAACCTGAGGACAACACATTATTGCAGTAGAGAGATGAGGGTTCACCGCCACCGAGGCGCCCTTTTTTCCCCATGATTGGGACCGGGGGGAAATCAAGAGCAAAGGAATGGTCAGATACGTTTTGTTTTTTTTTTGTTTTTTTTTCCCCCTGTTAAAGTGCATTACATTTTCACCCTGCAGGAAAAGTGACTGAGGACTCTCGAGGTTATTTCTGACCCCGGCAACGATAAAGCCCAGCTGAACATGCACATTGTGCTTCCGATTTGAGTCACGATGCCCACGTTATTTTTTTTTTTTCCTTATATCTTGTTTGCTTTACTCGGGCAGGGGTGGAAATAATGCAGCGAATGAAGTCCATTGCATAAGAGAGTATCAACTGTACAAGGGCTGGAGGAGAAAAAAAAAAAAAAAACGAGCAGATGTTATTCCAGTATCAATACCCTACCTACACGTTTGGCTGTGCTTTACAGTTACGAAACGGAGAATAAGTCTTCTTAAATTATTTGTAAAGAATAAAAAGAGAGCGGGGGACCGGGGGGAATGGAGGATGACGTGACGCACAGGAGGGGAACCGGGGAACCAGAAAGAGATCCATTGGCAGCATGAATCTTCTCCAGGTTTAATTACACCGTATTGATTCGCAGGCAGGGGGGAGGAAGAGGGCGGGGATGAAGCACAGGAGGGAGAGGGGGGGGGGCGGGGGGGAGTTGGGGAAATTGCAGGGAGGGGGTACATGTAA